TAACATTAATTATTTTTAAACTATAATTAATAGTAATTATAATTTAAGTTATAAATAGTAGAAAATTACATTTAATTACCAAAAATTTATACTTAATTACCAGAAAATCACATTTAATTAGTTTTAGCCAAGAAATTATAAATATTTCTAAAAATATTATAATTTCCAGAAATTACTGTATTTTAAATAAATACAATATTTTAATATCTAACAATATTTTAATAATTAATAATAAAAAGTAACAAATCGATTATAGCTTAACCTAACTTGATTAGATCTATATGTTTGCAGGCTCAAGCAACTATTTTCTTTTGAGTTAGGTCTATCTAGATATGCACCATGCCCACACATTATCAAGGATAATCCGATTTGAAGTCTAATTGGGTATCAAACTTTTGGAGTCCAATGATAGCTTTAGCAGATAGCGCCCAAGCTAAACAACCCCTAATAAGCTCAACTTGGAAGTTAAATGCATATATGGTAAATATTATTATATAATATTTAAATAGCAAATTTTATATTAATATATATATAGAAATGTTATATATTTTTTATAATAGACTAGAATTAAATAAAAATTTTAATTTATAAACAATCATAGTTTTATAATTAACACGGGCCTCTATCAATAGAAAATGTGCAAGCCCGAGCCCGAGCCCGAAGCCGGATCTATACACAAATTGTCTTATTTTTAGTATACTTTTATAAACTAAGAATATATTAATTTAGTAAACTAATAAACTAATTTATATTTCCTAATAGTAAATTGATATTTATTAATAATTTAAGAAGAATATATATATATATATATATATATATATATTTATTATATATAACATAAGTACATTTTTATATATGTAATAGTATCAGGCCGGGCTTATTTGAGAAAGCCCGAGCTCGAGTCCACGAGCATGAAATTTTGTCCAAGCTTGAAAAATAACATGTCAGGCCGGGTTGGGCCGGCGGGCTACCTGGCCCATGAATAGGAATTGTATATATAAACAATTGTATACATCAAAAATCATATGAAATAAAAATTTAAACATCTTTTTCAATTTTTTAAAAAATGGACCTCTCATAGCTTGGCCCCGGTCTGCTACCTAGCCTAGCCCAAGGCTCGGCCCAACATGACCCGATTTACACCTCTATTTAAACTTGCCCAATACTAGGGACGGGGTGGAGAAATTCGAGGATTCCACATCCTTGATGAGGAGTGGGGTGCCTTGCCCTTGAACTTGCCCGACATTGAGGAGTGGTTGCCTTGCCTTGAACCCTGCTTGGCACTAGGGACGAGGCAAGGATGGGGTAGTGTGTTGACTATGGGGTAGGGACAGGGATGGGATGCCCCGCCCTAAACCCACCGTATTGTCATTCCTATATAATACTTACTTATTAATGAAATTAATAAAAATGTAAGCTTTTGTAATTATTTTTATTTATTTTAAATTAATCAAATTTTCATTTAAAAATAATAACAATTATTAAAATTACTATAAAATATTAATAAAACTAAATTTATTAAAAAATATTTGTTCATATTAAATTAACAATAATTATTTTCTATAAATCAACATTAAATGAAAACACAATTGTTAAAATTTTAGATATTAACAATAACTTTAAATACTTTTAATTAATTTACAACATATTTTGATTATTAATTTAATATTAATTAATAATAAATGAAATTATTAAATCTTTCATATTTTCTTGTGCATTGCACGGGTCCCCACTAGTTACCCATTAAATCAATAAGCAAATAACATAGGCATAACTATTTCTAAAAACTATAAAGAAAGAGGGATTTGCTTTTATTAATGTTTAGCCAAGTGGCCAACTTTCCCCCACTTTCTCCTAAATTGTTTCTAATTCGTATATATCTCTTAAGTTATCTTTAACTCCTATTTATCTCTTAAATGATCTCTAATTTAGTAGAGGTTTTCTCCTAAACTATTTGTAATTCCTATTTATCCTCTACCCCATTTTTTATCTACATCTATCTAAAAAAAGTTTCGATAAAAAAAATTCAGAATTATTTAGATAATATAACAAAATAATATACTAACTTTAAAATATTGGGAAATTGTCTAAAACTCACCATGAGTTTTCAGCATTTGTCTTAAACTCACCCCAACTTTTCAAAATGTCTAAAACTTGCCATGTCACTAACTTGACAATAAACAGACTAATGGGTGTTAATATATTACCATTTTAACCTTCATAGAAAAACATAAAATATATACAAAATAAATTAACGGGTGTTAATATATTACCATTTTAATATTTAGACATGAAAAAAGGAAAAAGTTGAAAAAATATTTTCAAATATAAAATACATAAAAACATAGAAATTACAAAAAAAATATAAAAATTTATAGAAATTGCAAAAAAAATTAAAGTTATTTTCAATTTATAGAAACTATAGAAATTGAAAAACAAAAATAGAAAATAAAAATTGTAGAAAAAACACCAAAAATTATAGAAAAACACAGAAATTTCAAATAAATAAAAAATACAAGAAAATTTATAAATTGTAGAAAATAGAAAAATGTAAAAAACAGAAATTATAAAAAACATTGGAAATTATAACAAAACACTAAAAATGCAAAAAAAAAACAAGAAAATTGAAAACTGAAAAAGGCCATTTTTCCTCTAACTCACCATTCAAGGGTAATTTGGTCATGAAAATTGTAATTTATGCTTACATGGACACCTCTGTTAAGAAGCATTAACAGTGCACTAACGGAAGGTGAGTTTTGGAAAATAAAAACTTACTAACATGGTGAGTTTTAGACAATATCCCTAAAATATTTATTCAAAACACAAAAATTAATTATAATAGATTTAATAATATTCATACTATTAATGATTCTATATTTTTACAAAATTCATCATGAAAGTATGTAGTAACAATATAAATTATAATTTTACGAATTGTTCAATTTAAATGTTATTCAAATAATAAAATTTAACATTAAAAAAATAAAACATCATTTAAATATTTTAATAACTAAAAATATTAAATAATAAAACATTAAAAATAGCTAAATAACTATATAAAAAAATATTTAATATTACGTAATAACTTTAAAATAAATAAAATTCAAATAATGAAAAATTGTATACTTTACATATTATTTAAATATTTAAATGATGAAATATTTAACATGGCAATTTTAAATAGTTAAAATAACAAAATTATGTAATAAATTTAATTTTTTCTTAAAATTAGAAAAATAATTAGAATAGATTTCATAATATTCATGTTAATATTAATTTAACATTTTAAAAAATTAATAACAAATTATGTAATAATAGCAAAAATTATAATTTTATGGATTATTAAATTCAATATATAATAAATATTTTAAAATTTTAAATAAAAATATTATTTAAATAAATAAATAATATTGTCAATAACTTATTTCACTTATATCAATTAATAATTATAGAAAGTAACTTTAAAATTTAATATTTATTAGTAATAAATTTACAATAATAGTGTATATTCGTTATATATTTATATATACTAAAATTAATATTTATTGTATTTTTATTAGATATCTATTGTATTTTCATTATAAATTTATTTTCAATAATTGTGTTTCTTTACTATAATTTTTCAATAACTATTGGAGATCAAACTATTGTTATATTATTAGAGATTAAACTATTAATTTAGCATAAATTAGGAGTGTTCAAGGACTGGTTTAGTTCGGTTGCAAGCTGTTTCATCAACCAAATCGACTTGGTTCATTATAAATTTATTTTTAATAATTGTGTATTTTTGCTATAATTTTTAATAATTATTGGAGATTAAACTATTGTTATTTATTAGAGATTAGACTATTAATTTAGATGAAATTAAGAGCTTCCAAGGATTGGTTCGGTTCGGTTGCAAGCTATTCCGCCAACCAAATCGACCTGTTCAGGTTGAGAGTTTGTCACTCGAAACTGACTGGCCATTACTGAAAACCCGCCAGCTCAAGTTGCATTGGTTTGGGTCTATTTTCAGTTTGGTTTATTCATTCAAAAGATTTATACTTAAAAATTAAATTTAAATGTAACAAATTACAATGGCATTATTAAAAATAAATTAAATTTATGATATAAAATATTTTAGATTAATAAATATGAGAATTTTCCCACTTTTCGTATTAAAAAATTATATTTAAAATATAAAATATTAATGTATATCTAGAGTCGAATATGTTCAATTTGGGTCAATTTACAAATGTCCAAACCGAAACTAACCTAACTTGGTCAGGTTAGAAAATTGTTGAACCAAAGACGACCGAAAATACTAAAAAACCGACCAACTCGGGTTGAATTCGATCGGATTGGTTATTAAAAAGTTAAAATATGAAACAATTATATACTCTTATGTATTTCTATTGTTTAACCGCTTAACAAAGGTCGTACACCGCACGGGTCCCCGCTAGCAATTGTATATATAATCATGTATTATTCATTCAGTTCGCAATAATAGGGGTTTAGAATCAAAATGGAAATGGACCATTCTAATTTTCAACCATTTGTTTGGCAGAACTAAAATCCAATTCTCATTCTTGATGGAATGGCATTCCCCACTTGACGGAATGACCAAATGGCCATTTCCTCTCTCCCTCCCTGAAGAATAAGAATCCCATTTCAGCTAATTTTGGTTATGACTTCCAATTCCAATTAGCAACACCAGCATCCAGCAGCAGCAGAAGCAACAACAAAAGACACTATCAATGTGTTGGGATTGACGAGTGGCCCATAACCCAATAGCTTAAGCTTTTGGGTTGTATGGTGTCCTCTCTCTTGTGTGTAAACCCTACGTATGTGCACGTGTACAAGTTCCCGGTTTTGACGACTCCCCTCAATGCATAACACAATGTTGGTAAAACTGCAACCCAGGAAAAACAGGGATCCACAAACACGACCAAGTATTGCAAAAGCTCAGCATAGGACTTTGTACAAAATGAAAAACAAAATGTATACTCATGCAAAGTACAGAGTCACAACTGTGAAAAATTTTGTAGCTTACTTCTAAAAGATACTACGCAAATGTCAATTCAATTAATCGTATGACATTTGGTATTGTGGTTGAACTTACATGCGGAAAAGTTTGTCAAGARTTGAGGTTGTACAATATAGTTTGCAAAAATGTTTGACATTCAGCAGTATGGTTTAATGTACACGAAAAAAATGGTTTAATGCATAGAGCTAAGCTACTAGTCTATAGCATTGCCTTGTCATTGTTAAGACTTCAATTGCAGCAAATGGAGAAATTCTCTTCGCCCGAGCTGCATGAATCACATTGGCAATAGGTCAGATCTGCAAATCATGCTCACTACAATTTTGGAGTTATGATAAAATCAAAGATTTCACCTTGAACTTGTAGTCTGAACTTCCATTTGTTAATGCAAATAGGGTGCTGATCTTAGGTTGTTTCTGCTTCATTTTTCATGAGTTCAGGTCACTGAACATGCATTTACCTTTTAATATGCTTTTTCTCTTTTATTTCAAGTAAGGCTGCTCCGTATTCGAACTCTGTCGATTAGCATTTGTCTACCTGATAGATCTTCTTCATAACCAACAACCTGCTTTCCCAAAATATAGCACTATCGTTAACATATAAAGTATCAGACAGAAAAACAACTAAGAATAATTGCTATAGAGAATGACTTGAGACCTGAGAATCAGTTTGTGTTTCACTAAATCCATCATAAGTGCTTTTTTTAATGTTGTCTTGCCCAGGAGTGCAAAAGCTATCTTGTCTCTCCATCCTAAAGACAATGTAACCAAAAAAACAGGGAGCATATCAATGATAAGATTTATTCGAAATCTATAAATATTACCAAAGTGCTGAATGGATATGAAAAAAGGAGCATGGATCTGAATGAGTAGCTACTTGTTGCTTATAACATTTTTTTCCAGAAACAGAAATTAGGTGTTTGACTCAATAAACCCCTCAAATTATAAGATAGCTCCAACCGTAAACTATTTCTACAAGCACAGAACAATTATTGGTACCGGACAGAAAAACCAGTGAATACCTGTTTGACCAGTTCATAGATACATCAAAGGCAGAACGAGAATCTGTATGGTCCTGACCAAGGATAGACCCTTCAGGTGAGAAAAGCTGTATCTCTGTGGTCAAAGATTGGCAAATAACCTATAAATATTACTGATAGGTTTACATGTCAAGAAAATTGTACATCCTAAAACAATGATCAAACTCATGCAAGGATACACTTCGGTCGCATGCAGTGCTCTCCTGTGACTTTATATCTTGAATCTAACAGAAAAACCAGTAAAGTGGTAGTTAGTATATAAAAACTACAGGTTTATTAAGCAAATGAAGCTTCTGTTTAGTACCTTGCTAGCTTCTGCTACCAAATCCTCGATAGCTGCAGCAACATCAGGAAGAGCATAAGAAGCTTCGCCAGTATCTTCTGGTATGCTGTTTCCTATGGAATCCATTTTGCCAACTGGAGTATCTAGATGGGCTTTCGCAGAAGTTATATCAATGGCACTGTTATCACCCAAAAACCTTGCCCTTTTGCAGGAAAAGGTTGAACCTTTTCCCTTGTCACTTGAGTCATCACTTCTGTCACAGAACTTGTAACTTGACAATTTTGTCATGACTTGGGATTGACTTGGTAACTGAGATGAGACATCACCAGAAATCATACAAGCTGCTTGTGTAGGATACTGACTCATTGTGCAAAGCCCGGCCTCTCGGTCTTGAGCAGTAACTTCTTTTGGACAAAATGGATCTGGAGGAACAACCTTATCCTGCAACAAAGTGCTATGGTAAGCATAGTTGATTCCTTTCTGGTTGTCAGAAAACAGATAACATGAACTAGAAAAGACAATGGTTGGGAGGATATACCTGCCTGACACACTCACAAATCCACTCTGAAGTAACTGATTGTATACCCCATTTACAAGCAGCCTCATACTTCGGGCCACTGGTGAACTTACATATTAAATGGGTAACCTTTTTATTCAGTTTTTCTGTGAATTTAGCTCCAAGAACAAAGCACAGATTTCTTAATAACTGCCTTTCTTTTTCTTCATACTGGGAGACACAGAACCTTAAACTTTCAAATCCAGGCAAAGGAACTCGGCAGGGAAGTGGTGAATACAGAATATGACCATTAACGTCTAGCATGCATCCATCCTGCAAGAAGAATATTGCAAACCCATTAGCTCTTGCTAATTCTATACCACTTTAACTCTCATACTTATACTGTTAATTGATGTCATATAAAATGATAGCAGGAATATTTATGTCCTTTTCCATTGTGAAAAGGCAAATTTAACAACCAAGTTTATGTCCTTTTTCAGTCCTTAAAGGACATCTGAAAAAATCAACTAGATGCCCCATTGGATAAACTATAGAAATCTCCACATGCATTAGATGTAGTCCTGTCAATGTTACCCAAAAATCCGAGGCCCGATCCGACATTTGATCCTATTATCTCGGATTCGGATGATGTATTTATGTAATCGGATCGGATTCAGATTTGACTCCATCCGATCTGATTAAAATACAAATATGATTATATTATAATATTTATTAATTTTAATATATATAAATTCTATATAATTATATTAAAAATTATAAAAATATATTTTATATATGAATTTATATATATAATAAATTTAGTATGTTATATTTATATTAATTTATTATATATAAGAGTTGAAAATAAATAAATTTTTTATTTTTCTAGTATTTTAGCTAATTTAAAGCGGAGTCGGATTAAATCCGAATCTGATCCGAGTCCATTAGGATTAGAATTCAAATCCGAGTCTTTAAATCCAAATGGATTTCGGATCAGATTCGGATGTAGGTTCTTAATATTCAGATCGGATGCAGATTTTGCTGCATCCGATCCGATTACAGCCCTAATTAGATGTCATATGCACTGAAAACAAGACTGAAACAAAACTAACTAGATACAGTACTAGGAATGAATTAAGAACAACATAGAAGGTTCCTGGAAGTAGAGACATATGATAAGAGAGGTGCAGAACTTGGCTATGGAGGAGATAAACACAACTTTCAACTGGGTTCACAGATGAGTAAACAGTTTAGCTGATGCTTTGGCTGGACAAATGATTAATAAATGTTGGAGTATTTAGTTTGTATGAGGAAGGATTATTTTAGGAAGAAAATTTATAGTTGGGGACTTTAACATTATGAAAGTCACATTGAGTGAATGCCCCCTATTTCTCTCCTTTCTCTATTAACACCGATAAAATCATCATCATCTAAGCCCCGTCCTAACTATATGTGGTCATCTCTCACTACTTCAACGCATGTCCTTTTTGGTCTGCCCCTGGCTCTTCTAGCCCCTTCAATTCATAATAGTCCAATTCTTCTTACTGGTCTTATATATTATTGCTGAAAAGATGGTCTCTCATATTTCACACCTTAGGGTGGAACCTTTTACTCCTAATTTACACCTTAGAGTTGGATTACTGTCAATTTTAGGTTTTTTGGTGATTAAGGGTTGACATTTTAGGGAACAATGAATCCTGTTAGTGGTCTTTAACAGAAAATGGATTCCCATCTTGTTTCAACTAGTATTAAATAGAGCTTGAATATTCAGTTGCAGTAGGTTTCTATTGGCTTCAAGAGGAAGGACTTCAGCTCTAAACCTTAGGGGGCAAGCAGGGCGGCTCTTTGGTCATTAGCACATTTGTTTTGGTTGAAGATCCTTGGAGATGCATGTTGCTAAAATGTTCAAGTATTTCCAGCACCAAGATTCATTGTGCCCCATAGGTGTTGAATGAAGTACTTAGACTACATGTATCAGTTAAGGGAGAGATTGTCTTGTCAAATGCAGTTTACTTTTAGCATTTTGCTATTACTAGGAAATTTGCTGAGAGGTGGACTTGATGTTTGGTCATGTCTTGGTTAAGAATCACAGGCTTCAATGGGTACAAAGTCAGCTAATAGCATTGCTAATTCTTTAGCATATAAAAACAAAGGCAGGGAAGATCAAATGTTCTGGACACAATTGTAACAAAAAAGAAAGGGGGAAAAGAAAGGGAAAAACGGAGAGATAAGAGTTTTTATCTGTCAAGAGGATGACTGACAGTTATTGATAAAAACAAAAAACAAAAAAACTATGGGCTTCCATGAGTACCATGTCAGTCATGTCTTGGGTAAGAGCCATGAGCCACCATGAGAAACTGTTTAATCAGTTGAAGCCTTCTCTTGCCATGGTTAAGAATAAAAAATCTAGTCATAAGTGCAACAAGCTGATTTCATCCCTGCGAGTGTAGTATTAGAGACTTAGAGCTAGTTACCACCAACTAGAATCTTCAACTTCCTTTATTCAAGAGAAGCTCCAAAAGATCAGTTGGTCTCCTTGCTACCAAGATTAGATTATTTGTTTCCCAGCAAGCTAGCTACTCTCCTCTCTTCTCCAAGCTAGCTACTCTCCTCTCTTCTCCTTATCTTCTCTTCTTATTATTCACTGAAGGAATAGAAGCCATTTATATTGGGGGGTTTGTCTCAACAAGGAGATGATTTGACATTGAAATATTAAAGATTTCTCATGGCGTAGGTAGCTAGGGCTAGCCTATCAAAGAGGGATGCTTGACACAATTTCTGATATTGTATTTCATTTTTTCACTATAACTTAACAAATTTCAGTTTGTTACTATTTGAAAAAAAAAAAGAAAAACCTGGTTAGATCACAATATGATTTTTCTTTCTTGAAAAAAAAGGCTACAAACTTTTTCAGGTTAAACCGTTAAAGAAGATAATACAGCAGGATATCATAGCACATCAACAAAAAATTGTCAACAGTGTTAGATTAACAATATCAAAGAAAAATTCTAGATTCTATTGCAACCAATACACATGACAAGCACAATTACAACAGAAAAACCATCATGGTTCACAATTTCAATATCAATGGACTTTGCCAATGTGGACAGACCAGCAAGATATATACAATACTTTAATTAAGTAACAGCAATGACAACAATACAAAGCTGAATGAAACAACAAAAACAAACTAGATTCTTAGGGATTTCAGAACTGAACCTAAAGTAGAACTCCTCCTAGAACTATTCTGCTATAATGATAATGACATCAAGCTGGCCTCTCATGTGGACACATGGTGATAGAGTGATTGGAAGGCACCCAATGAGTTGATTCCTCAAAACCCAAACTCCCAATACTTGAAAACCCTAGTTTGGGTTGAGCTACAGCTCAAATAAAAGAGAAAGAACCAAAAAGACCCCATAGAAACAACCCCCTTCTCATTTACAAGACTCAATGGCTTGCTGGAGAAGCCAACGAAAATATTTACACATAAGCCCCTAGAATGCCCCCCTTCACAAACAACAGAACAAAAAATAACTTCAAACAACCCCCAAAAGATAACTTTAGTTACAAAAACACCCAAGAGACCAAAACCCAACAGTGATGCACCCAAATTGCCCTTGACCAAAAACCAAATTATGAAATGATGAAAATACCCCTATACCCAAACTGTCCACAAAGTTACCAAAAATACAACTATTTGGGATCCTACTTCAAAACAATCAATTCCAGAATATGTTTTTACATTTCTCTTTGTTAGATATTCGATCAGACCTGATTTCCTTCCAAAAATAAAGGGAAAATAGAGAGGGAAAAACAGAGAGAAAGAAGGAGAGGAAGAGAAGAGAAGAGAAAGAGAGGAGAAAATGAAGAGATGGTTCGACTGTTCTCAGAAGAGCGAAAATTCTCTCCCCCCAACCAACCAGAATAGTATATATATAGATTTCTAATCAAAGTACAATGACCTTTGTGCCCCTCTTTAAGTATGGGACACTCTCTTCAATCTCAAACATTATAAACAAAACAACCTAGAATAAGATATTCTGAAAGACTCAAATACCCCTAGACTATTGACTCTAACACTCCCCCTCAAGCTAGAGAGTACATATCATATAATCCCAACTTGTTACATATATGATCCACTTTTCCCCCACTCAACCCTTTTGTACACAAATCAGCCCACTGACTCCCTATATTCACATGTACTGTATTTATCACTCCACTAAGCACTTTTTTCTCTTACAAAATGACTGTCGACTTCGATGTGCTTTGTAATAAAGGGGCCAATCAAACAACTGCTAAGGATATCAGCACATGAACTGAGCCAATCTTGGCAACCGGAGAGAATGTCTCTATATAACCCATACCATACAACTAAGAGAACCCTTTGGTCACCAACCTAGCCTTCAGGCGCTCTATGCTTCCATCTGGTAGGTACTTGACTATATAAACCCACTTACAACCTACAACAACATGCTTACCAAGAGGAAGAGTGGTGAGCTCCCACGTGTGATTATGATCAAGTGTTGAGAGTTCCTCTTCTATTGCTTTGCACCACTCTGGGGAGGTAATAGCTTCCTAGACATTCTTGGGAATAGAAACAATAGACAAAAGGGAAACAAACTGATGAAAGGAAGTAGAAAGATGAGAGACAAAAATATAGTTAGAAATAGGATGCAAAGTACAACTATGTTTACCTTTACACAAGCTATGGGAAGATCAAGATCAGACGGAGAAGGCATCATAGGGTTAGGAACAACTGTCGGATCTGTCGACAGAGAAGAAACTAGAGGAGCGGGTATCTATCGATGTGTATACACATGCCTGATAGGTGGTCACTTGGTAGGAACTTGCAATGGAGGAGACGAAGATGAGAGAGTAACATGAAGAAGAGGAATGGGGTCATCAACAGGACCTAGAAGGGAAACCATAGGAGATGAAGGAGAACTATCATTACTCGTAAAGAATAGAACAAACTTGAAGAAGGTGACATCAGGACACAAAGGAACATTGAGAGGATGGAGATAACACTTATAGCCCTTCTGTGTCTGAGAGTAACCAAGAAAGATACACTTGGTAGACTATGCATCTAATTTGTCCATCCCCATGTGCAGATTATTAACAAAGCATGCACACCCGAAAACCCTTGGAATAAGAGGAAAGGGAGACAACGTAAGAAACAAGATGGAGAAGGGAGATTGACCTCCAAGGATAGACAATGGCATCCGGTTAATGAGAAAACAAGTTGTAAGAACAGCACCATTCCAAGAATGTTTAACGCTTAGAGGTGTAAATCAAGTCGTGCTGGGCAAGCACGACAGGGCACAGCCCAC